TCAAATTCATTTCCTTTGAAAGTTCCGTTTTAGATTTATTCTGTATCATTTTCTTTGATGCATCCTAACTTCTCAGAAAAATGCGACGGATAACGAGGACAGAGAGTGCAAGCAACGAAGAAACGAACACGAAAAGGGCAAGTATATTCACAATCAGAACGATACAGCTGAAAAAAGTCGATTTGAAAATTTGGACTCACAGGGCATATCGGAAGTTAGAGGAGGGGTGGGAAATTAGTGGGCCACCCACCTGCCCACATTGCGTGTATAGATTACGGAATTCAGAGTGTTTCTTCCACTAGACGGCTGCTACCCATTATTCAAGAGACCAGTCTACCGTAATATTTTCACACATTTTTGCCGCGGGGCGGAGAAGAAATTGAGTCATGCCTTTCTGATGAGTATTTTTGTGAAAGTATATGTTAGCGATCTCGAGTCGGTGATGCTACGGTCCGTAAAGATTTATACTAGTCTTGCACCTGATAACCATGTCATGGATTCAATAAACTCATATTGAATAAACGTTGTTGGAATAATACGCTGGACACGTCTATGATCCTAGAAATATAACCTATGATTGTAGACGACTCAGGTGAAAATGGATTCAACTGGTGGTGTCCAATTCTTCTGAAATTTTATTTCCTTTTTTTTTTTAAACTCCCCCCCGGCCTTACTTGTCCCTTATTTCTTTTTATTATTTCCTTTATTATTTATTTGCATACGGCCATACGATGTTGAAACACCAGATCCCGCACAATCACGGAAGTTAAGCAACGACCTTGTAAGCTTGGCTGTTCGGATTGGCTCGGAATTGTTAATCAGAGAACCAAGTTCCAATTCCAGTTGTGTTCGATATATTCACTCATGTGCAAATACCTTTTGAAACGGTAAGAATCAAACTGTTCTCCCCCAGCTGTGGGTTAATTAATAAATCTATTGTCATTAAATCATTATTGTCTCCCCAAAAATTCTTATAATCTAAAAAGTATTTTCGGTTTTTATATAACTGGCAACGAGTTGATAAGCCGTGGAAAGTACATCTGTTATATACGAATGAAGTATCCCTACCGACACTTGAATTTGAACCTAGATCGCCAGTGAGCAAACACAGGCGATCCCATTATTGAATGAAGTGGATCACGTGACCATAGAGGAAACACAAATATAGTGAGTCACGTGACGTCTAAATGATTTGCACTTCTATTCTATCCTCTATTGCTATACGGATCGCTATTTCTAGTCTATCCTCTATTGCTATACGGACCACTATTCTCTACTCTACTCACTATACGATTTCTCTATTCAGATCACTCTACGGTGGTTACTATTCGAGCTAGAACTATCGAGCAAGTACTGTTAGTGCGAGTGTTATTCAAAGGCGTCTGACACCAGTATTGTTCAACGGCGTTACTATAGTTGTACCTGTGATTACAAAGACTCTACTACAACGAGCATTACGAAAGTGACAACGAGTATTTGTTAGCATCACAAAAGTGACAACTAGTGTTCGTGGACATTACAAAAAAAATCAATCAACTTTTTTCTCTATTTCCTTTCCTTTTTCTTTTTCATTTTCTCTTTCTTGCCCCACTCTTTCTTCTCAGTTTGCTCCTCTTTCTTAATCTTCCTTCATCTCCCCACCCTTCCTTCATCATCCTGCATACTCAAGTTTCCATCTACCTTATTAAAAAGCGTTATTTTTAATGAAAGATGAATAGACAATGCAAACGTTTTTTTCTTTTTTTTATCTCAGTACTTGTTGGTAAATAAGTAAGTTTAGGCAAGGAATCGAATGTGCCAGTGATGTGATGAATTAAATGATCGGGCCTACCTTGTATTTCGGTCTCAGTCGCTTTAAAACGGACATAATACAGTTGCCGTCTTCCGCAAATATTTTCATGGAAATTGTTCTGATGAGCTTTTCTTCTTTGGTACCTAGACTTCGTGACACAGTACTAGATTGACTTTTCGGTCTCATCATTTTATTGTTGACATTACTAGATGTAACCGTAAATTCTATTCTAATAGTTTATTTCCCTACTACTTCTCCCCTATGGAGAACTCCTCCAGCATCTTGCTTTCCTACAATCTAGAAAATGTAAACATAACGCCATCTTCAACATCCTTGAATGTTGTTGTTTTAATTATCCTTTCTTCTCAGATTCCGTCATCATATTCTCTTTAATTTTCAGTAAACCCTTACGTCTTAGTGCCTTTATCATTTTGCTTGGGGTGAAATGATTATAAAAAGTTACATGTTTTTAAAATCTTCCATGGGGCTGAAAGTATTGAGCGCTCAGTGAGAATCGAACGCACTCCTCCGTTGTAACTGATCTAGCGAGACAAACTTGCTAAATATTACACTACGCCATGGTGCTCAAATGATTTACTAAGAGAAGCTTAGTTGTGGCACAAGGCCGAAAGTATGGAGTTCTCAGTAAGGGTAGAAACTCACTCCTCGGTCGTAAATTGATCTAGTGAGACAAGATTGCTAACATTTACAGTACGTCGGAGGAGAAAGACACAAGCATAAATTCAAACCACTATTCGTGAGGTTGATAAAATTTCCTTGGACCTTACCACTTCCAAAACATCTAATTCAATGACCAGCTATCAGATCTCTTTGCAAGAACACTTCTTGGTCGAACTGAGAGCTTTTCAACATTTCGTCATATTTTTTAAAATTTAAATCTAATGTCAATGGTGATCTTCTATCTTCTTGAATCCTGTTTTTTCATTATATTTTTTGCAGAATATGTTTTTTTTTAGGTTTCTTCACAAGTGTCTTTCATCCTCAGTAAACCCTTGTGTTTTAGTGCTCGTATAAGCTTGCTTGGGGTGAAATGATTAAAAAAATTAGCTGTTAGGGAGAGAAATTGCAGCTAAAAATCGATTGAAAGTAGAAACTTAAAAAAAAAAAAAAGGCGGTAAGAAATCTTCGAGAAATAGTGCAAGCGAGTAAGAAAATAATTGGAGAGTTTGTGTGGAGAAATCATGAGAAAAAACGAAAGAAAGCAACTGAACGAAAACTTACTTGAACAAAGGAACACTGTTCTCATTCCCAAGACACAGCAAACAGATAATCAAATTGTCGAATAATGAGATTTCACTTAGCACTTAGTTCCTGTTTGTAAAGACCTCTTGTCAACGATAGACGCCTGCAACGATCATCTTCCACACTGACAGAAAATGGCCTCTCCCCTAAGACTTTCAAGGTTGTTCATACAGATACTAGCAACAAACGAAAAATGTCTGGAACTAAACGCCCAATCAAAGAAATATTTCTCAAGTGATTTCTTTGTTTTGTGTATCCTCATAAATGATAAGAAATTGGGTCAGGATTTTTCAATGAATGCGTTTAATTACATATTGCTTACTTATTTTATATCTATATTTTTCATCATTGATTATAGCATGCACTCTTATCATTTCATAAAGAGAAATCTGGAACATAAAAATAAATGTTTTATTCATTAACTATGTTTTTGAATGAGGTTCGCCGAAAGCAAGGCATGTGAGCTACTCAAGATAGAGCATTACCGCATTGGGTGTGCCTTATAAATACAAGAAATGGAAGTTTGAAATGAGGATTATAAACATATGGAGAATAGATAAGGATTGACTCTAGACTTGAAGAGGTTAATATCGTAGTATTCGAGGAATCATCCACCCGAATGTAGGAAGCATCCACCCGGGTGTAGAAATCATCCACCCGGGTGTAAGAATCATGCACCCGGGTGTTCTAATAAGAAGGCGTCTGCGTGGAATGTTTTAAATGGAATATGCAGGGAATAAGGGTGATTCAATCCCGTATACTTAGTAAGGTTAGTCTTGATTGTAAAGGTTTGAATTTGTGGCACTTAAGTACGGAATTCGACTGAACATTTTCAATAGAAGTAGTAACAAGCTTGCGGTTTTGCGTTTGTCTCAAAGAGGCTGTAGAATGGAAAATAAGAACACTGCCACTATTCGAGAGAAGCATTTTTTAACCGGCTAATATTGAACATTAAATGGTCTTATAATATAACGCTTATCGTCACAGGAAATGGAACTAGATATCTAGGTTCGAATTCATGCCAGGTTTGTTACATGCACTTCGAAATAAAGATCTCGAAAACGACCATGAATCCATCTTCCCCCTAAATATGGATTAAATAATGATACAAACAAGTTCTCCCAAATTGGCTATGTGCTGATCTTTGAAAAGAATAAATCAGTCAGTCAGTTATGTGCCATGCGTGATAAACGCTTAGGCGATAATTTATCTTTCGATATATGACTGACGAGGTTGATTTTTTCCACAGTAGGTTGCTATTTCTTTCTGCGGTAGACCAGTTGCCATCCAAAGCTATAGAACCTGGTCTGTCCTGCTATTTACTCATAGCTGTGGGGAGAAGAGGATTCATGCCTTTCCCAAGCGTAATAGTACATAAGTGAATGTAATGGATTCGACTGGAATTCAAACTCGGCTCTACGATTCCTCAATCTGAGCCGCTATCCATAACCCTACCGTGCTTCCTGAAAAGAATAAATACTACATTTAAATCAGCTTGTCGTTTAGGCGCCATGAATGCGCGAGAATGTCATATCGAGGCTTAGTTTTGTCAATCATCGCAACTGATCCATCATCCGCCATCATAGAAGCTACATTGTAACTGGATCCGAGAAATATCAAGATCTTTACGGAACATATGTAATTTCTTACTCAGCTAAAAATCCACTCATACACGACAGTTCCTTTTTGAATAGTGATTAATTAATTCGTTTTTTCACGCCTTATCAACCTTTTGCAGGTTATTTAAATCCAGAAAAAATATTTTACAAATGATAATTGAGGTAGTGGTGAAATTCTTACTAATTAACCCATAGCTGAAGGGAGAAAAGATTAACTTATTCTTTTCCGCGTAAGTGAATATAACGAATCCAACGGAAATTGGAACTCGGCTCTCCGATTAACAATTCCGAGCCATTATCCATTACATCACACGCACATCTAAGTTTACAGGACCTGGCGTTCCCAAGCGGTTACACATCTAGTTACTAACCAGACTTAACATTGCTTAACTTCGGTGATCGTACAAGAATCGGTGTTTCAACGTGATATGGCCTTCCTTTATTTAAAAAAAAAAAAAAAAAAAAAAAGAAACAGAAAAAAAGAAGCTATCATTATCTCTTTGGGGTGGACGGCAGTGATGAATGAATAATGGCAGTGTTCCAACAAGGATTATAGTTTTACGCTCGACTTCGCCAACTTCTTCTAAACTTGTCTTTAGATCCGAAGAAAAGTACATTTTGCAGACAAAAAAAAACTATTTCAAGCTCTGGTATTCTCATATCGTTATATTTATAGACACACTAAATTTAGGTTAACTGAAAAGAGAATAAAGGAACACATTGCAAAAATCACACTATTATATATATATATATAGAGAGAGAGAGAGGGGGGGTTCTCAGTAATTCTATATTTATGGATAAAGTGTTCAATATCAGAAATAGAAGGTATGTAAATATCAAAGTGAACATTCAAATCAACACTTAGAAGCGACAGACTGTTTCATGCTAAAAGCAATCGTCAGACCACATACGTTTTGTTTTTCCTCGACTATTTTTATATACGGGTCAGTGATGCATTGTGGGTAGTCTCTTGCACTGTGTAATGTCTGTTCTAACGGATATTTTGGCGGTAATGATTTGTTAATTTGTTTATTATTTACTTTATTTATTTATTTTATTTGGATTAATTTATTTTACTTGTTTTTGTTTATTTCTTTTTATTTATTCTTTTCAATTTTTCGCTTTTTAAGTAGCATAGTAAAATTTTTTTCGTGTCTGAATTTTGAGTTTAGTTTGATCGTTTATTTAGTATATATATATATATATATATATATATATATATATATATGTGTGTGTGTGTGTGTGTGTGTGTGTGTGTGTGTGTGTGTGTGTGTGTGTTTGTGTATCTATGTGCGTGCGTGTGGCTAGTCGGTATATTTTCATTGAAACAGGTTTGGTTAAATAATTAGACATACTATATTTATTTTTGTTTTAATAATTTCGAGTCCACGAATCAATTTATATATAAAGTTGAGGCCTCCGTCTGTCTGTTTCTTGGTTACCAAACTCCTCCTCGGATTTAGGAGATAGACCCTCAATAACCGTATATGTTCTGAAATTGCATTAACCAGCATACTTGGATAAGTATATTTGATTTTAATCAAATTCAAAATATAGTAGGAGAAAACCAGAAGATGGAGGTCACATCGGCAAGATCATTTTGATCAAAATGGATCGCGGAGGAAGGACACAACGCCCACTGAATTTATTTTTCCCTTTAATATAAATCAAATTTAAATTTTAACAAGGAGATGACTCATAGGGTACACGGATAAGAATATTTCTTTTTGATCAAAGCGGTCCCCGGGGGTGGGGGTACAACCCCCGACCATTTTTGTTTCCTTATATTTTAAATATGAACAAGGAAATGACTCATTCTCTTGCACTCACAGTAATCGCTTGCGGTCAAATCACGCTGAAACACCGGTTCTCGTACGATCACCGAAGTTAAGCAGCGTAGAGCCAGGTCAGTACTTAGATGGGGGACCGCTTGGGAACACCTGGTACTGTAAGCCCCCAAAGTCCAACCCTTACCTCACAGTTGGTGGGGGGTGTAAACAGTAGTGTCAGAGCTATGCCGCCGGAACTTCGTTCCTGGTAGGGACCACCCAAGGCGGACAGGTCTGACACACACGCCGGCTAACAAGTGCTCTGGTGAAAATCCAAGGCGGCTTCTGGTCGTTCCTGTCTCTGCGTCTGTGGGAATCCTGCGGCAAGCAAGAACGTTATCCGAGTAGGCCTGGGTACCCTACTTCTGTAATTTATCCCAAGAATCTTCTTCTCATAACAGGAAGAAGCCGGCTCAATCCGCCCAGGGTGAATGCCGCATCAGTACAGTACAGTAATCGCCTTGCGTCTTAGTGGCATTATCGCCTTGCTTGGGGGTGCTTTAAAAATGAGATAAAGAGTTCTTTTCTTTTTATATGTCATGTCCTTTCATAACGTAGGCGATCATGGCTCTCCACCTCTCCCTATCTCTTGCAGCTCTCATCAAATTCCTTCCCTCTGCTTCCTCCCCCAGACCACGTTCGGTCATCTACCTGCTCAGGATCGCCATGTATATCATGCGCTGCTTTCCCTTGTCTTTCTTTCCCTCTATTAGACCCGTGAGTATCAGATTCTCCAGGCCCTCCTTCCTCATTATGTGTCCCTGAAACTTCAGCTGCCTCTTCCTGATGTTAAATACAAGGACCGAATTCATAAGGATCTCTAAAGCTTAGATGTGACATAAAGCTAAAGCATGGAGCACCCAGTGAGTATCAAACTCAAACGGAATTGATCTAGCGAGAAATTCTTGCTAATCATTACACCACTTCAAAGTGCCCTCAAGTGCTTCTTATACATATTTACTTATTGAGGTCCAGGGCTACAAAAGTAATTCACTCGCATTTGTGTGAAGGACTAGATTACCAACCTTTATTCTATGGTAGACACCCACGCAGTTAATAAATTACTCGGGGAGAGTCTAAGAATAGTGGTTTACCCGCCAGGAAATAACAAGCAAGCAATATATCATAACTCTAGTTTGTTAGACACTGCTTCATGATGAGTGCCTCCACGTTGAATTAATTTTCAGCTTATTTAGTCCAGCAAAAAAGAGAGAAAATATGGGAAAAACTTAAAACAAGTATGAACGGAAAGAAGAAACTAAAATTACAAGAGAGACTTAATAAATTTACATCATTTGCGGCATATATATATATATATATATATATGATGTCTCTCACACTATACCTCACCACCATCTATGTCCCCTTATATAAGCTTAATGCCCTTCAAAAGTGTAAACTTTAAAATTCATTTTTTCACCCTTAAAAGAAAGTGAAGTCTGAAAATCCTGAGAAAAATAAAATCTCTGGTGAAATAAATTATAACTAATGTTAACTTAAACTGGTCTGTTTTTTCTTTAAATGAAACTATTTGCCGTGACTTAACATTGAACTCTCCGGATTTCATCCTCTTCAGGATTATCCATACAGATTACCAAGATTTTCGTTATACATATATATATATATATATATATATATATATATATATATATATATATAGGATCGATGTATACGGAATAAATTCCAATAAACAAAAAATTCTTAAAAGAATGCTCAATACAGAGTAGACCAAATATAATTTATTCGAAAATTATTACATAAATATGTTATAAAAACACTACAAAAATAGACATTTTGTTTTAACACTTCTTGTGTATTATCAAGTAATGTGTTGAACACGATAAGACACCCGAAGTGTTGAAACAAAATTGCTATTTTTGTAGTGATTTTATAACTTTTATATTATAATTAAAATAAATATATATATATATATATATATATATATATATATATATGTGAAATTTTTATATATATTATGTATATATTATATATGCGCGGTGCTTATTAGAAAGCGCTGAATATCAGTGATAGAGCTAACATATTTAGTTGGGATGATTTGGGTTTGTGACCCTGGGTTTCACGCCATTTAAGATCGTCAGACAACCTAATTAATTTTGAAATTTTGGATCTATTTATGGTTGTGCGAGGTCTTAGATAGGATGCAAACAAGGAGGAGACTTATACTTACGACCAGGAAGAGGCAGCTGAAGTTTCTGTGACACATAATGAGGAAGGAGAGCTTGGAGAATCTGATACTCACGGGTCGAATAGATGGAAACGGGCAAAACAACGCATGACATACCTAGCGGGCTTAAGCAAGTGGATGACAGAACATAGTCTGGTGGAGGTAACAGAGGGAAGGAAATTGTTGAGCTGCAAGGGATTGAAGGAGGTGGAGAGCCATGATCGCCTACATCATGAAAGGACATGACACATATAATGAAAATATCGGTGTTTGAAGGTAGTGAGAGAAAAACTGCTCCTCCTCGGGACGCTACGCACGCACACACACACACGCGCGCGCGCGCATACTTGCATGTTCACACATTGCAGCTCAAATAAATTTATACATATATGAACAGTGTGGGGCTGGGAGTATGTACGCATCCATGCGTCGTTGCGTGCATACGTACACCATTGGCTGCTGTATTCGGTGTTGGAATTATGTAGCGAATTTTCTCCACAATTGGTGGTGGGCTCTGGAGAGCTGGTGTCAACTTATAGATCGTTCGTCTATTATGTTCAAGGAATAATCCTTTCTCGCACACATACACGTATGTACACGTGTATACACATCTTCTATCCGTCTGCTTTTTTGGTGGGGGGTTGCATTACTTAAGATAGGTTCTGTGTAAAACTACGATAGATATTTTTTTAATTATTTTTAATGCTGGTTATTTGCTTGTTACGGACTATTGAACTTATGTAAATAGTAGAAATTCTAATTTATAATAATTATTAGTATTCATGCGGAAGATTGGTATTAATTTTGATAATTGGACGGGAGTGCAATGTTAGTATGCTATATATATATATATATATATATATATATATATATATATATATATATATATATATGTATGTATGTATGTATGTATAAGTGCTCAACGTCAGGGACAGATCGCATATAAATATAAAAGTGGATATTGTGTTCAACACCCAATGGCGACAACCTGTTTCCTGCTTAAAAGCAATCTTTAGGCCATGTGTGTTGTGTTTTGGCTTGCCTATTTATATATACAGTGGAACCTCGGTTCTCGAACGTCTATATGTCGAACAAATTGGTCTTCGAACACAAAATTCATGATGAAAATGCGTCGGTTATCGAACAACATTGCCGAACCGTGTTAACCCGAACGGGATAATTTCTAAGTCGGCCGCCATGTTGTATACATTCGTGTGTTGTGCCGTGCTTTTCTTTTCCAATTTTATTGTACTGTGACTTTTTTCTCTACATTGATTCCTATTGGAAAAGTAGTTTCGGTTTACAAACATTTCGGGTTACGAACGGCATTCAGGTGTGTGTGTGTGTGTGTAATTGTTATTTCTAAAGAGTTAATAGATTGCATTTACTTACTTTAAACCTCATTTTTAGTGGATATCCC